CGTAACTGCATCTTAAATCAGGGGTTGGTTGTAATTCACCCACTTATTTATTATTCTTAGAGCATCTTCCAACGTCGTTACTATGTTTATCACCAAATCCTATTATTTGTGGTGAAAAAATGGGTTTATCTCAGACCCTTAGCACACTTGTAATTTCACTACTTTTAGTGAAGAAATAGTGTATTTGGTCTCCCACCAATTCCATCAAATTTTGCACAAAATAATAAAATAATAATATTAAATCATTTTTCTATTTATAGATAATAGCATTTAGTTTGGTCTCCCATGGTATTTCAACAAATATATCACAAAATAATAAATTTATTGTTAATCATAAGTTTAGTATATTTTATTTTCAAAATATTGATTATAGATCCGATTATAAGCATATTGATTATATAATCTAGCTGGTCACCTTTATCCCACAGATGTGCTACCAACCTTTTTCTTACTTCATTATATTCTCCTTGATTTATCAAATTTCTGATAATACATATATTTATTTTTTAAACATATAACTTATTAGGGCCAAAAATATTTATATTTATTTAAAACATAATAATAATAATAATAATAATAATAATAATAATAATACTAATAATAATAATAATAATAATAATAATAATAATAATAATTGTTATTATTATTATTATTATAAAATAAATGTATTTATATTTTGAACACTAATTAATTAATTAATTAAATATATTTACTATAAATATGTATAAATTGGTAATCATATGAAATTAGTTAATATAATAATTTTATATGGTAATTATAAAATGGTGTTAATTGCACCAAATCTTATTTTAATTTCTATATTTAATAGGAAAAATAAGATTTGGTGGACAAAATAGTAGAATGGTGGAAGGGTGGGAGATGCAAATTTCTTCACCAAATTTTTTGGTGAAAATATAGAATTCGGGTAATACATGGTATGGGATGTGAGTCACGTGACACAACGAGAAATTAAAACTAAATCACCATAATTTTAGGTGTAACAATAATTTTAAAATTGGGAAATTAAAAATACTTAATTTAGGTATGAAAAATAGGATCGGAATGAGAGTGCAAGAAGCCCTTAAAACCATGATTATTCGATAGAAATAGTGAAATCAACTCAAGATATTTTATACAACTCTAAAGTAGTATTTCGCAGAAGGTGTTATTGCCCTACAAAATATCTATAGATACAACTATTAAATATGTCAAGTGGAGATCAATTATTTTATTCTATTTTTCAAATATTACCTGATTAATTCGATGACACATTGTTTTCTTATTTCAAATTTCAAATAAACATGAATGCCATAATCCTGAAACCCCTAAAATTAGTAAAATATCTAATGTTATTGGATAAACCTCATTTTTAGTTACAGTTAAATGTAAAGAATATATTTGTAATATAAATGACGATATTTACAAGTCAAGCGAGAGTTGTAGTTAACCGAA